TTAAATAAATAAATGTTTATTTAAGCACTGCACAATATAAACTGAGTGACATAGTAATATATAATATATTAATATTATTTTTTTTTCTTATAAAGTATAAATAGTTATATGTTACGTCTATCCTTTGGTTAAACACTAATGACATTTTGTGAATGTACTATATATTCCAATAACGAAACCGATAAATATCTTATCGCATATAATTTTGGTACGTACAGTTTTACTTTAGTTGTAATATACTGTCACTCAGTTTATATTGTGCAGTGCTTAAATAAATATTTATTTATTTAAATAAAATAAATAATTTAATTTAATTTAATTTTAATTTTAATTAATTAGTATAAATAGTATAGTAATTTATTGTAAAAAAAATAAAAACAATATTAATATACATATAATATATTATGTTATATTGATGATTATTTAATTATGTATAATAATGTAATATAAATAATTTACAATAAAAACATAATATATTATGCAGATTATTTGTATAAATACTTCACAATTTACATTGCCCAATATCCCTCAGACATTGTATACAATGCCCGGGCATTGTATACATTGTCAGAATTTTCCACTTCGCCCGTAACATATACACAATTTAGATACTTCCATCATACCAAAGAAAACTGTTCGTGTCTCAACTCTTCTTCACGTAGTTCTTTAAGCTTCTGCTCTAGATCTTTCCACTTTTCCTTCATCTCCCGGTCAAACGCTTTTTTTTCTTTGCGCTTGATTTCTAGGCGGGTTTTTGCAGCGTCTCGCTCTCGAATAGCTATTATTAGTTCGTTGTCAAGCGTCTTCGGTAGTGTATCCCATTCTGGAAATTTTCTATAATAGTTCAATACACCATAATATTAAACACTAATTATTTAACTATTAATTTTAAGTTAAAAATAATTATAATTAATGAAATACATTTACTCAAAACAACTAATAATAAAACATCATAATATGGACATAATCACATATTACACCCCATGACCCCATGTTTAAAGCTAAAAACGACTTAATTCCTCTGGTCACATTTAAATATTTAAATAGTATACATCAATTGAATACCTATAGTTAAACTTATCACATGTTCGCTATACTTTATTTAATATTGTTTTGTACTCATGTGCACACTGCACACCAATTCACGCTAATGCCAAACTAAAATTTAAGTAAGTAGATCAAGCCTCACTGGCAAAAACTCTTACACTCCACGAAATAGGCACAGATTTCAAATTTTTATGAAAGACGAAGGCTTTATGTATAAGTCGTATCATACCCCCATTTTAACTCTATTTTCAGTAGTATTTGTAAATTTTTATAAACGTGTATAGTGTATGCAGTATACGTCTAAGTATTATAAGTGATAACTTTTGTGGACTAACTTGATAAAATTGTTTGACTCAGCTTTAACTTGCATATATATGTTCACTGCTTTAACGCAATCAGCTTCAATGTTTATCATCTTCTTCGGCTTGATTTTAGGATCTTGCATTTTAAATAACCGTTTATTATTAACACAGTTTAAAATAATTAATTAATTTATCTGATTGATTTTTAAATTAAATTAAAATATAATTCTTGGAAATCAATTGCAATTTGAAGTAGGAATTTACTATTTTGTACTTCATAATGGAGGTTTATTTTCAGAGCATAATTTCGTTGTAGGCTAGTAAAAGACGTGGTCTCCTAGCAACACATTATTATATAATCGATGATTTAATAATATAGTTAATTTTAACTATATACTTGTATCAAGAATAATGTAATTATTATTATAAATACAGATTATAGAAATATACTATCAGTATTGGCTCGTAAACACGATTACATTTTCATATTCTTACCTAAACAATAATTAATAATTAATAATATTTAAAAAAATTATTAGGTATGTCGTATGTCGTATGTGAAGGTATTATTGAGGCAGTTGACGAACTAAATAATACAACGCTCAATGCTCATAGACAAAAACATATACATCACAATATAAAGTAACGGAGCAAGCCCAAAATAGTTTGTACTAGTATTTTAGTAAAATAAGTAGATACCTATGTAGTATGTTTTTAACTTATTTAAAATGCACTTCAAGAACTCTAAATACACAAACTTTTTTTAAGGAGTTCTATATAGGCATTAGTACAAGCATGTGGGGGCAAGGTTAATGATAACCGGATAATTTCTAGCACATACAAATTACAGCAGCTGTTTAACAAATATGTTATGTTATCTAAAATATAAGGGCTTTCGAATTTTCAACCAAAACATTTACAATATATTACGAGATCTCGTAGAATAGACTACTACAGGCGCGTCATGGAGTGTCTCTTGACGAGGATTTCCAATTTCCATGGTCACCACCCCATAATCGAAGTCGTGGTTTTTTGGTCACTTACCCACTTGAACGGTCGAACATTGTAAGTGTGAAAAGCGGATACTTTGTACTACTTTATGCAGTATACAAATGATACACATAAAATATAGGTAGAGCTATAGGTTTTTTAGGTTTTATAAAAGTCTGAAATTCTGACCACATTTATATTCAATGGGTATATAATTATATTATAGCACCAATTATTTTTTTTTATTATTCAACCTGTAAACATAAAAAAAAACTTTGATTGTATTGACCTATTTATATTATAAAAATGTTTGTTAGACTTTTTATAATATCATACAATTATAATATTTATTAAATGTATTATAGCATCAGGTAGGTAATGTTTGTTTAATTGTTTGTTACCAGCTAACTTCAAAGACTATGTCTTCAGCATTTAAAATCGCTTCATGGTAAACGAGCACATTTTTTTTTTACTGATCATTATTTAATAATATGACATCTGCATAATATTCATTTATTAGTACCTATAACCTATTTACAAATTTACATATTTTTTTGGTTTAATAGTTATTTATTTTTTTAATTTCTAAATAATTAGTCTAAACATATATACATATAAATCTATTTGTCACATACCTACCAGATACCTACTGACATTAATTTGTGGTCCCGAAATTTCGATCAGTTGATCGGTTTAAGCTTTCCATTAATTGTCAACGAGGAAAGAAAAAGGAATTTGTTTTTGGGTGGAGGCCAACAATTATTATTTATTTTAATATAATATAACATTTACCTTATGTTGGACAGACAAGAAAATCGTCTACATATTTCGTCTTTGAAAAAATATTAAATACCTATACATGGAACATATAGGTATATATATAAGTTATTACCACAGATTAAATAAAATTTATTTAATCTGTGTCATTACCTCGTAGCATAGATTAAATAATAAATATACTAGTATATTAAATCTATGCTCGTAGACACTATAGGCAAATCGCTGAGAAATTTCTAGAAAACCAGGTACACTCGCAGAGAAACTTCTAGAATCTCCCAGAAATCTGCTATGGAGGTACGCCGAAATGGTTGTAACCATACAAAACACTCCGTAGAGAGTTTTAGATACATTAAACGGTTGATAACCCGACTGATAACGAGTAACGAGCTTATTGCGACACATTCGAGTTCGACATCGATACAGAGAGCAACAACAATACGGCTCGGATTTTGGTAAACAATCATCAGTTTTTGTTATCTTATTCGCTTAATTTTCTATTCCTACTGGAACTTTAAATTCCAGCTATCGACTTTCGACGGAGACTTAATGTTTCCACTGTTTCCAGTGCCGACCGTGACTGGACATCGGACGACGAAACGTCTTGTTGTCGGCAAGACATCGACGGAAACAGCTGCTACTCGTTGCCGGCAGTCTTGAATACCGAACTCGCGTCGACAAAAACGACACGGCTAAGTCGAAAAAGACGACGGCGGTGGTTTCCAGAAACGCGAACTTCCCCGTCCAAGTGCCGCCGTCAAGACAGTTTGTCGATCGCTATTATTTGTGCCGTCGACACCGCCGCGAATCACGTTTCGCTCCTTATCCTCTGCCGCCGCTGCAAAGTCCCGTAGGTCCGGCGACGGTCGCTACCGACATGTTCAAACGTGCGTTTCCGTCTTCCGACGCGATGGCCACCAACCAGCCCGTCGCAGCTGCCGGATCCATCCCGACGCCGCCGCCGCCGGCCAACGTCCCGTACGCTCTGCAGTTTGGCCACCAACAGCCGTCCGGCTTCACGACTTTCACGCCAGACTACCAACATTTCCCGTACACCTTCTCGTCGATCACACCGCCCGCGTATAGCTGGGCCAACACCAACAGCACGCACGTCATGAAGTGCGTAACCGTCACCACAACAGTTTGTTGTAGCAATGACCAAACGTTGTCTAGCTGCCGACTTTATATTATATTAAATATCATTTCAGGTTCACAGGATCAAGTAATCCACAGCCTTTGGACACGTCCACATACCATCCCAACAATTTTGGGTCTGTGCCGAAACGCAAAATCGATTTGGACGCTGAGTAAGTATTTTATCAAATTTTGTTTGCATGACCCAGGAACTAAAACTGTTGCCATTTCCTAAAATCCTCTCACTAACTTTATTATACAGTATTATATATATTTTATATTTATATGTATTTTCCATTGTGTGACAGAAAGTTGTGTATTCATGTAAATCTTGCACACAATATGTTTGAAATTACAAGGGGCAATAATATTTTTCAGACTTCCACAGCCACCCAAAATGCGCATTACTGAAGAAAAAGTATCTGCAAGTTTACGAGACATGCACATCAGTAGTGAGTTCAAGCCTCATAATTACTGCGTCAGCAGTGCCGTCAGTGAAATGGATGTGAGTTGTTTGAGTTATGTAATGTGAACTGTTAAAAACTTTTTTTCTCTTAGATTGTGGAGAATCCTAGTCTCATAGAGACTGCCAACATTTCTGAAATTGCCAAAACAGATTCTCAGACCACATTAGTCATGTGTGAAGAGTTGCGTAAACTTCACAAAATCGATTCCATCATACCTCAACCACTACTTAAAGTGTATGTAGATATATTTATAAAAGTTATGTAAATTTCTGTCATCAAAATGTATTTCTGTTGTACTTTAGAGAAAGACCAACCAACGCACTGGTTGTGTGGAACAATAAGCCTTTAATGGAATTAGTCCGTTCTTTATCTCCCTACCAGGAACCCAAATCGACTGTTGTGATAACCGAGATCACTGATGAAGAAGAAAACGAAATAAACAACAGAGAAGTAATGTGTGTTGAAGAAAATAAGTAAGTTTCATCTTTCGATAAATATTTTACATTTTTCTGTACACATTTTAATTTTTTAAATAACATCAACTGTAAAAGTCTACCAGGTATGTGCAAAAAATAAAATCAAATAAATACTATGATATTTCAGTTTTTTTATATTTAAAACTCAATTACACTGTCAAAACGAACAACACAAAACAGTTGTTAGTTTGGTGGTGTACCTTTTGTCTTTTTACAATAAGTTACTATAAAAACATAATAAGTATTACATTAATCATAATATTACAAAGCCACTATCATATTTCAATATTTTTGTACCAATGATCTGGAGTAAAATATTTGATTTGTGCAGGCTGAGCCCAACAAACACAAAGAATATAAATTATAAAAATTATTTATTAATCTAATTTTTTTTTTATAATGTAATACGTATAATAATTTTAAATACAAACAAAAATGTTGCAGTTGCGTTGCCTTTGAAGATGTTAACATGGAGCTATGATGGGACCTTGATCTGGGTCTGACTCACGGTAGGCGAGTTAACTTACTGCCAAATAAATAACATTTGAAAAAAAACAAACAATTAATATAAGTTTTAAATGTATTATTTTTTAATTTTAAATAGTTGTAAGAAGAAAACATCTTTTTTTGTTATTCTGTGTGATAATATTATATACTGTAAACAAACATTTTATATTGTAAGATTAATTATTCATTTTAATATATGTACATATATATGTATATTTTTTCGAGACAAGTTATCCTAAACAAAAATGAATGCGTGAAATGTTAAGCAGAAAAACGTGTTAGTTAACATAATATATGCAAGGCAATGGTTAAATTGGTATTGTTATTTTTGATTCTTTATCCTTCTAAATACACTTCAAAAGTATTGTTATGAAGAAGAAAACAGTGGCGTATGCAAAAACCTTTTGTTCATAGTGTTTTAAGTACCAGGAAGAACCAATCAAATTAGTAAACCTTTTTTTTTATTATTTTAATGTTAAGAATGATGTTTTTGTTCTATATTTGTGATGGTAGCATAACAATTTGATTAATGGTTATGTGCCAAATCAAGTTGACACTTTTTAAGCACAGATAAAATCATAATTTAAACTTTATTGACTGATAAAATAATTAAATAAATAATAGTAAACCAAAACTTTTGGTAACAGCTTAATTATAACCTATTAAGATTGGTTAAAAAAGTTTTGACAATTAAAATTAAAAACTTTATCCATAACAGTTGCGGTTGTCAATGGAACAATAAAAATGTATATTAATACCCATAAATAGCATTACTTCAAATAAATTATGTAATAAAAACAAATGGTTGATGTTAATTGAAAACCATTATTTAGCCTTTTCTCATATTATGAATATCATTTTAAAATAACAATTATATAGATAAATATGAGTAGAATTTAGCAAAGGTAAATAAATGAACTCTAGTGTTTCATACTTACAATTAGTGTTATAAACTTAATCCAAATTTTTTGTTAACGCTACTTAAATCATGATCTAGTAAATAATATTATAAAATTAAAGAACATTTTTAAATTTTTAACAGAGGTCTTAATACAATTATATAATAATAGAAAATAATTTTTGTTTTCAATGAAACAACATTAAAATATAATAATTTTTTTTTAAATTACAACTTAGAATTAAGTTTTGATGTTTGCACTTGTAACACAATCACACAACTCGTACAAAAATCCAAACGCTATGTAACTCCAGACACTATTGTCATACGCCACTTATGTTAGTATCATGGTGGGGGGATTTTCTTATTACTTACTATTTAAAATACTTAATAATGATCTTATTACCATCCTGGTGTGGTGTTGGCCAGTCGTCGCATTCGCCTGGAATATATACAATTACTGGTATTAGCATTGAGTAATTAGCAGATTTATTTAGGTAAAAATTAAAAATGAAGTAGTTATTAGGTTCTCTTGCCTAGTGTTCCTGTCTTGATCTCTAATCTTCTTTTCCATTTCTGCATCTGTCAATGTCTCCAGGAATGGACTCCATTGGTCGGCATCTGATGGTGGTCTAAATGGAGTCTCAACGACTGACAATGGTGCCTCACTAACAAAACACCATTTTATAAATATCACATCTCAGATTAAGTAGTATAATATAATTTAAAAGGTTTACCTGAAAGCGTAGGTACGCTGGTGCCAGCTTAATTGCCCTCTAATGGAATATGCAATGGCAGTTACAAATTCTCCACCAAGCCCTAGTTCAGCACATAGTTTCATGGCAAACTGTTCAGGGGAATTATCTTTTTCACCCATGTCCCATTCAACTTGATCCACTAATGATGTATTACCTACATGAATGTTTAACTGAAATACAGAAAATATCAACATTCCACGTCTGTGATTAAAACTAAAAATAAATATAAATTATATATACCTTGATAATAACTCTTTGGTCATGTTGGTCATCTAAAATATTATCATTATTAAATGCTTCAATTTGCTGACGTATAGATTGTGCGATGGCTGGTACAAATGGTAAAGGGTTTAAATCTAAATCGTCACATAGCACTTCAGCAAACTGCTCTGGAGTTATTAAACTTTCTGTTAACAATGATAAATTTAAATTATGGGCCCATCAACAACAATAATACATTTTAATTGATTTACATACCATTTTTGTTCCAGGTAAATGTATCCCTCAATTTTTGTCCTTCAATTTCCATATCAAGTCTGATTGGAACCAACAATTCAGAAAAGTTGGCATTCTCGTGAATGTTTGCTGGATCGGTATCATCATAACTAAAAATGAATTATTATTAATATAATTTTTTATTATTACTAATAACTAAACATCATACTAACTAATATCAAGAAAAATACTCACCATAATGGGAAAGTCCTGACTTTTTTTTGTATAATCCTATTACGGTTAATAGGTGTAGCCTGAGGAACCGCGTCCAAATGTGAACTATTTGGTAATGATGGAACCCATGGAACTGATTTTTTTCCTTTGGATTCTCTATAATCACAAAATAGATTTAATCATTACTTTTTAGTTATATTACTTAAGACATATATAATTTTACTATTAAATAGAATTTATAATTTAAATAGATATAATGAATACATTAAAGTACTAAAACATATTCTATTTCCTAGGCAAATGT